GTCCCCCCTGAGACTCACTCTCCACCCATTTTTCAGTTAATTAAAGATTAATAAAACCATTTGGCCTGAAGTCTAAGTCAGTTCAATAATTCATTTCACTTTATTTATTTGATGAGTGACTATTTTCTATCATGTGAGCAGTACTACAATTAGAGACTCACGTAAACTGTGTTTTAATGGAAATTACATTCTCACAGAGGAAATAAACTGGTAAATTATGCAATTTATTACATCTAGCTTCAAACGCTATGAAGTACTTGATGTTAAAAGCTGAGAAATCAGACAATTATCACAATAAAATCTTTTAGACTCATTGATTTTCAAATTTTGAGTGCATTTATTCAGTTTCTTTAGAGCAAATGACACAAAGGGAAATATTTAGAAGGATTGCTAGTATGAAGAGTATTCCTCTTTTGCTCTGGATTTTAACCTGAAAAAGACATAAAGCATGAACCAACTGTATCCATCTCCCCTAGGTGTCCCATTCAAGAATGATGCCAACTGGAGAAACTTTATACAAACAGAAAAACTTGTGCTTCTCAGTTATTTGGAACAGTGAATTCCCTTTCCCATGAACTAATTCAATCTCTTTATTTTTAACTTCTAACCAGAAGAAGTAAATGCTCCAAAATCTCTTGTACTCTAATCCAGAGTTCATGCCATATGGCTTTGCATGCAACACAAGTCTTAGCAGTGAATAAAATTAAATCCTTGCTTTAAGAGGCCCATGCAAAACAGCTGGAAAAGCATTTCTGATCAGATTCCCAGTTAACTAAATAGAAGAAAAACAATTAAAAATATAGAAAAAGGAATCAACTACATATAATATACATTTATGTATTTAATTGTATATATGGTAGTAGTCCAAGCAAATCATAGCAGTTATTAAGTAATTGTTTATTATTTGTCAATTTGACAAATTTCTACTTGATTTGTTTAAGAAGCACTAAGCATGAATTGTAGATTAAGGAAAATTTTAGACCTTATGATTCCGTCCACTAATGCTTTACTTACTTTATGCAGTTTATATTCACCATGAATAGATCTGTAATTAAAAAATGGAAAAGCAAATAAGGTCACGTGCTATGAAAAAGCGAATGTGATGAGAGAGGACAGTGTGATAAGTAGCAGGAGAGTCTGTTTTCCTGTGACAAATCAGGAAAACTTCTTGGTGGTGCTAATTATGCAGAAATTTAATAGTCTTAAAAATGAGTCATCCAGTACAAAATGAGCAAGAGTGACTTAGTGTAATATGTCAAGAAAGTATAATTTGGCATTATGAACAGAAAGGTCATCAGTATGTGTGGAAACCAGTAACAGTTGGAGGAGCTTGATCTCAGTTTAGAGAGAAAGGAAGGTTGGAACAGAGAGGGATCTCTATTCAGATTGTGGTTTAGGAGCTTAACTGTTACTAGGAGAGACTAGGACGCTAATTAATATTTTCCAAGAAAAAAGAGTTTTATGTTTTACATATTTATTACTTCCCTGACTGTTTTTTGGAAATCACAAAAGAAATACGAGAGGAAGATTCAGTAGTATTGCTTTTATTCATTTGTTTGTCTGTTTGTTTGCTTGCTTTTGGTATTCCAGATGGTAATGGAGAGTGGGAAGAAATGCATTTGAGGTAGAACAGATCTCCTTCGAGACTGGATGGTGAAGGGAATGATGGGACATTAGGAAGATGGGAAAAAAATTACAAGACTTTTAAGGTTTTACACCTTTAGAGAAAGTGGATATGAGGTCATCAAAAATGCAAAAGAAAGGAGAACAAACTCTGGATTATGCTAAAAGGACCAAAAAATATCATTTCAGGCATACTATGATTTTCTAATTTGATGTTGCTGTGAATGTCTCCATAAAACTCATCTTAAATTTCTTCCCTACTGGAAGATCTGAGGAAGGTAGAAACTTTATTTTATTTTGTTTTGCTTTATTTTTACAACTTTGAAGTATGTGGAATTTAATTGGACTGACATTAGGAGACTTAGAAGTTAATTAAGGTTAAAGGGAGCTATAGGTGGCCCTTTGGCAGAGAATTTAGGTAATTAAAGAGTCCATAAAGTAGAAACCATTCAAACAAGATTCTGGTTTTAAAAGGAATACAGAGACCTGAGCAAGGACCTGCTGCTGTCTTCCCACTGGCTGTTCTGTACCACCCTGAGACTTTGCCCAGTCTCCACCAGCAGGAGTCATTACGAGAAGTGTACAACACGCTCTTAGAACATCTCAGCCTTGCTGTGATTTGAAGAAAGTCTGTGGTGTTCAGTTAAAATAACAAAAAGCAGAATAAGGCAATATTCAAGTGAAGATGCCAACTTCCGAGTATGTGGTGGCCTACAAGAGTGCAGCTGAGTGCCATGTGGAGGCTGGAAACGCAGAGCTGGGGACATAAGCACAAGATGGTAGCTTGGTGTTGGACTTCGAACTTGGGCTCTGCAGGAGGAATGCCTCCGCCTTCAGTCGGGCTGCATCTCGCATGTTGAAGTCTCTTAACTTCTTTAGATTTGAGTTTTCTGTTCTCTAAAAAGGGCAGTAAACAACAACAGTCTTAGAGTAAATATTCAAAATGTGAATTATCAGTTACATTAATAGTGTTTCCACTGTAAGAATAGCATCGATCAGGTCACTCATGGAGAAAGGATAAACACAGAAAAGATGAATCATGAAGTTTAAAACCATAGGCACTTCAAAAATAGAGGCTGGATAGAGAAAAAAAACCCAAAGGCAATAAGGTTGTAGGAAAAGTTAAATATAATAATAACATTGAAACAGAAATAGACTGCTGAGGTCATAAGACAGGACCAGAAGCTGCAGTGGAATATACAGGCCACACTGCAGTGGTTTGAGAACTAATGGGAACAGAGAAAGGGGAAAGAGCCAATGAATAGAATTTATTTGAGAATTTTTCCCTGTTAAAAGTACCGTAGAAATGGGACAATAGTGATATACAAATGTGGAGTTCAAAAGTCACTATTTTTAATGGAGTACAATTGAAAAAGTCAAAATTCAATAGTTTATAGAGTGAGTCATTTGTAGAAATATTTTTAAAATGTATTTGATCTCAGAGAGAAGAGTCTAACTTTGTTGTTTTAAAATAATTTGCTTTCTAATTTCTCAGTCATTAGCCTGCTTTCCGAATTGCTGCTGGTTTCACCGTGTTATACTGGTTTTTATTCAGTTCAGCTGTTTTGTGTAGAATAACATTCCGCCCCTGCTGCCAGAGAATGTGTAATATAGTCACAGCACTGATCTGTAGAGGATAGTTCCTAAGAAGGGCGAGACAGCAAAACAAACACACACCTTCAGAAGATGAGAGAATAATATCCTAGACATCATGCGGAGGACATACTTGTAAATCCTTCACAGTCCCAGAAGGGAATCAAAGGGGTAGAATATTAAGTGCTGTTAGATTTGACAGTAGAAAGCTAATTATGTGTTTGATCACTCCTCCCATTCCTTTTTTTCTGTAGTAAGGTCATACTTAACTAGATGACACAATGCACATGAAGTGATTTGTCATGTCATAGAAAACAGATGTTCAAGTGTTGGCTAATATTATTATATTTAAGTAATCCCTGAGTAAATAAGATTTCTTAAATTTTCATGTTTAGCACAATATAATACAAGTATATATTACTAAAAGGGTTAAAAGAATACTCTTTTGTCCTCTGTGAAAAACTCAAAATGTTATAAAACATAATTAGAGAATAACAATAGTTAATCCACCATGTATCACAATATTAAAAGAATGACCAAATTGTTACTCAGAGTACAATTCACAGGCAAAAAGACTGTCTCTTACAAAGAATAAAGAAACAAGTAAAAACACAAAACTGTCTCTTCCCTAACAAATAGGAGCTAGTCGTATAAATGAAACAAATTTGTGTGCATATTTACTACTTTGAAACCAGATACATAATTTTGAGAATTCACACTAATATGTTCATGACTCTTTCAAATCAACCAATTTTTAAAATTTTAATTCTTTTTAATTGTACGTGTTTTCATCACATGATTATCTTCCCTGTGGGGAGCTGGTATGTGTATATAACACAATTTAATTCTTTTTTTATATGATTCTCCCCCATCCTCCATCTCTTGATCCACTTCTAGTTTGTAAAATATCTCTCTCCCCACCTCTTGTTATCTTTATTTTGCTCTTTATGTTTTGGGTTTCTCATAAAAGAAAAATCCTGCAATATTTAAACATGCATGCGATATAATTCATTTATTATGAAGGTCTCAAGGTGTAACCATTTTCCTACAAATGACTCATGGTTGTTCTCGGTGTGAAGATAAAGCTATGCTGTAAAATAATTATCTGAGAATTAGAAATGAATTCAACATGAGAAACACTTTGGATCTAGCAGCTGCTATTGAAGTTTATCTTTAAGAATACGAAATGAAGCTAATTACTGCTGTGTGATTTTCAACGATACAGTGTTCATAGTTTATCATATGTGGGAGAAGAAAGAGCAGATGTGAAAGATGATTAGAACGTGGGGAAACCAGATTCATCGCTGGATTCATTTTTACTGTACTCACGGGGGCTGAGTGCCATGTTACGTGGAGAGGCCTGACTGGAGCTGGATCATGGGGGTCACTTTTATCTCTGGCTCCTCCCTTGGCTCTGGCCCTCTGTTCTCCATGAGATGAGCAACTTTCCTCTATGCCACCCCTTTCATCCTGTTATGTCTACATTTGTGCCTGCCAACCACAGGCTAAAGCTTTTGAAACTGAGCCAAAATAAATCTCCCCTGTAAACTGTGGGTTTCAGGTACTGTGTGTCAGTGATTAGCAAGTGACTGTGACAGATGGATCATGCCCATGCAAGGTCATGTCACTGGGCAGGAATACTAGGAAGGGAAACAAAATCATGAGTAAGGAGGTCAGGCAGCCGACGGCAGGGAAGAATCCACAGGCAACTAGGCAAAGTGTCGTGACTTCCAAGATGAGTAAAATTAATGAGAAGAAGCCACTTGGAAAGCAATTTTGTTAGGAAGAAAAGAGTCCCCTACGCTTGAATTACATAAATAAGCAAGAGCAACAGCAATTGCTTCAACAGAAAAGGCAGCAGAAACTCTGCAATAGGAGACAGCCAGATTCCTTGAAGGCAAACGAAGTGTTCTTTTTTTTTTTCTAAAGTAATGGAGGACAAAGGTGAGTTTGTAGGTTACAAGTCAGGTTTAAAAGATGCTAGGAGGGGAAGAGTGGATCACATGGAGCAATACGGACCACACAGTGAGGTTATGGTGACATTTTGTGCTTTACTGGTGAGCAGAAGATCTCTGAGGCATCTTGGATTCATCCTAACAGTCCTTTATAAAAAGGTAACTGAAGGATGCAAGCAGTGGTCTTACTATTTACAATGAAGAGGGTGGGATCAGTTTCTATTCTTCTGCAGGTCTTAATGATTCTGTCTTTGGGGCCAGTGGCAAGGGCAGACATGGCTGTCCTTGGCATGTGTGCTGGGCTCTACTCACTACTGCTACAGAACACTGCAAGACTGCTTTGTTTGAAATTAATTCTGTCAAAGCAAGGAAGATAATTTTTAACAAATTTTGCAAAGATTAGTAGCCAAAAATTTTTGTGAAATATTTTGGCATTTAAAAGGGAAAAAAGCCACAAAACCTCAGTGACTAAATAGTAAGCAATACCCTAAGGCTTTCTGATAACTAAACTTGGGCTCTGTTAAGAAAATTGTCATGAAAGTAGAAGATATTTACCAAGGATAAGAAAGGCTGAAACTGGTAATTAATCCTTCCTCAGTGCTGAGTGGTGATTAGGAGCTCATGAGATTCATACCCACCAGAGCTTCTACAGTTCAAAGTAGATTTTGAAATATTGAAATGAGTCCAAATAAGATCAGGAGAAATGATTTAGCAAATTATCAGTTTTTCTGAATAAAGGTGAAAGTCTTTTTACTTTGGAGGAATAAAAGTTGGAGAGATTATTTCCGCTTTCAATTCTGTCCTAAGGCAAATAGCTTGGTTTTAAATTTTCATGCAAATGCAACTTCAAATATACTAGTAGATACTAGTTCTCATGGTGTTCTGAAGCCTGAGAAAGGCATCTTTGCAACATGTCACTGAAGAATTGCCTGAAACTATTATTTCTGGAAATAGTTTAGCTGATTCAGCCACAACCCTGCAAAAAAGCAAGGGACTACAAAGAAGCCAAATCTCTGTCACCTGATAATGTACGATACTAAATTAAACAATGAGGAAACAGAAAGAAGTGTTAGTTTTATCATGGACATTCTATTAATCTATATTTATTACAAATTACCAAAAAACAAGATTTTAAAATGTTTACATGTAAACAAGACTTGAAATAGATTCTAGGTAACAGAGTATTTCCAGAACCTTCTTAGTTTCTCATTTTCCTCAAAAGAAAAACATCCAAAGACCTAATTCAGTTTTCTCTTCATTTCGTATGTGACACTGGATCACTGCAGTTGACCCGAGTTGTGGTCCTCACATCTCTGAAGAGTGATAACTACTCTGCTTAAGAATGTGTTGATGGGGCAAGGGACTTAGCTCAGCGGCATAAGTACCTGCCTTGCAAGCAGGCGGTCCTGAGTTTGGTACCAATTTAAAAAAAAAAAGAATGTGTTGAAAGGATCAATAAATAATACCTGAAGTGATTTAATTTAGTGTGGGAACTTGCTGCTAAACAAAGCTGGCATGGAAGCTCAGATTTATATGTTTTCAAGTAATGCTTTTAAAAGTATTGTATGTTGGGTGGAGACTTTACAGATAACAGCTAGTCTTAGCTCTAGACGGTCTGTCTACTTCTTGCTAGATTTTATACACTACCCACTATGATTACTTCCATCCCAAATGATACTGTTTGCCCGAAAAAGAAAGCACACAAAGGGCTGGTCATTTGAGAGTAACCGTATGACAGTGATGGTGGACGGATGAGATGGCCCAAGCTGCTTTAGGAGCAATGAAAGTTGGGAAGAACCACAAAGGCCAGGGAGAGAATCCTACAGACGGGCAGTATTGTTCCCCATCACTTTGCTCACCGACTAAACCAGCTTTCAAAGCTCAAATAGTTATTCATTTTGGCCAGAGAGGACAGATTTCTTGGTCCAATGAATCAGATTTACATAAAATATACTGGAATGAAAGATTTAAATTTCACCTTTCTCTGCAACTTTTACAGCATGAGAGTGAGAAATTAAAATTTAACACCCAGTTTTAATCTCCATATCTATAACAAAACAGTCTCACAAACCATGTCAGGTATCAAGATTCTAAGAAAAACCTTGTATTCAGGGATTTTTATTCCTGTAATTTGATTTGGTTGGCTGTGATAGTTGAAGAACAACACAAAAAGAGCATTTTCTTTCCAGAGCTCAGGTTATCTTTATGCATTATTTATAAACATAATTCTTTTAATTTTTCATGCAAAATGTTCATTGTTTATCATTATTAAAGCATTCCAAGCAATCAAAATTATTCAGGTATCATTTTTACTTAGCCAAATTTAAACAGGTAAGCCTTTTGTAACATTTATTACATTTCACTTAACATTAATGAAAAGAGAAGAAAGGAATTCAAGACATGCAAGGTTTGGGAAAATTATTTCCTAGTAGAATACTCATGAAATACTCATCTATAGTATTTATTTCTACATTAACTTCCTTTCTTATTTGATGAATTTATTACAGATGAGGTACATTAAAATCAACCTTTTCCACTTAAAATTTTGAAGGTGGACACATAGGCAATTATAACTCCATTAGCACAATTTCAAGAGTTTTATAGACTATGCAATTTGGATTTTGCTGTTTAGCTTGGGCTATGTTAAAATAATTTTGGGGTTTTTAATGACAGAGAAGCATTTCTCAAGGTTAACTTCTCCAAACAAAAAGCTGAGTGTTATAAATCCCACCTCCCACAGGACAGAGTTCACATCCATTGGTCAGGGGCAAATACCCCTGGCTCTACATCTTTGGTTACTTCGTGCCATTCCTCCAAATGGGAGCCAAAGGTAAGTTTTCACACTTGCTCACTTCATGGTTAAGGTATTACTGTCTACTTTTACATCCTTTAAAAAATAATGCAACTTGCTTTAATATCTCTCTGTAAAATTTGAACCACTGTACTTGGTTTAATTTTGTTGTTGACTTTCTTTGTTTATTTTTTGGAATAATCAAAGTTCTGAATTTGCTTAGACCGTAATAAACAGAGAAAATATTTGATGTTAGTAGTTGTAACAGATGCCAATAAAATTATAGTAGTTTCCAATGTATTCCTTAGATCAAGAGCTCAGACACAGACCACAAACTTTGGCAATAGATACAAGTAGTATTGATTGATATTGGTGAAAGTATTATGCCAGGAGAGAAAATGTGGCTAGTATAAGCACTTTAAAATAAGTTAGTGACCACATGGCATCATGCATTTTGAGTGTTTCTTTTCAGATAATTGTTCTAAGAATTTAAATATACATACAGTTTCAAAATATTATGGAATGGTATAAAGTGAACAACCAATTAAAAGTTTCAATTAAGAAACTTCATTAAATACTAAAAGTGACTTGAAAAAAAAAGATAGTTATAAACTGACGATAGGTAGATGCTCTTCATATTTCTCTGCTTCTCTCAGATTGTTACTGCTGGTAGTTCTAGAGACTATTGTAAATGTAAGGAAACTTAGATATGTCATCATTTATAATCAACCGTAAAGTAGGAAGAAAGAAAAGAAAAACATTGGCAAAGGCATAGCTTCTTTGAACAGTAGAAGCTGTCAGAATTGTAGCTTTCTAGCCCCTGTTAGTGCCACTGCTTGAATATGGGGCGATGGTTTAGGGAAGCTTAGCAAATCATACATTTTTTTAAAAGTAAGACTTGGTTGGTAATTACCCAGAACAGTTCCAAATCTGCAGTCCTGCAAAGATTTGTGTAAAATCAAGTGAAATAGAGGCTTAGTCTATTCAGTGTGCATCAAAAATTCGTTTGAAAAAAGCTGCAGGGAATAAAAAGGGGCTCCTTGTGCTGCTTCTTATTCTCAGGGGAACTTCACAGCCTTTTGCCTGAACCTGCTTCATAGAGCCTTTCTTTCAAAGAGCTGACGGTCAGCTTGTTTGGCAGTGCATAAACCTATAAAAGTAGTATTTACCATGAATTCACTTTTACATGTGTGCATGAATATTAACACCACATGCACTTAAAGCACAATCAATGTGTCCCCAATATAAAACCTTTTAAAAGTGGGCACTTGATAAACAGTTCTACAATATATTGCCTGCTGAGTAAATCATGACTATAAGTGCTTTTTATAGGATCAACTGAAGTATTTATAATTAAGCATAATGTTTTTGCCTTAAACTAAAATGTATCCAAATGAATATATACAAAGAGAAAATGATTAAATATAAGACCTTGAAAGAACACTCCAGTTTTATTTTATAATGGAAAATAAGAATTATGCTTATTAATGAATTATAAAAAGATAGTTTTCTCTAATCCTGTGTGTAAATCCTTTTCTAATGGACTCTTCCTAAATATTGGACTTTAGACAAATATTCATGTTGATTTAGAGTGTTTACCTGTGACAACTGTTAAGAATCAAAATAAAACACTAAGGACTAGTGGAAAGTAGTTTTGCTGTCTGTTTTATTTACTTTGAAAAGTAGTGCATGAAATATTAATTTATATGCACATTAAATTATGCAAGTATTTATATGATCTAAGACAACAAAGAAATAATAGTGTAAAAAGTTTATTTTGGAAATGCCTAAGCATAAATGTTGATGGAAGAATTATGAGACTAGGTGTATGACTACCAAAATAGTTTCGATTTCTTCATTCACAAATGATCTGATATTTGTAGATATCATTATCATTATTCCTATCCGTAAGCTTGTGTCTCTGGTGATGAAAGAATCTTAACGCATTTTAAATGTCAAAATTAGTAAATGATACACCTTTATAAATAAGTGAATCAGGGGCTGGGGATTCAGCTCAAGGGCATAAGTGCCTGCCTTGCAATCAGGCCATAGGGAGTTCAATCCCCAATACAAAAAAAAAAAAAAAAAGTTTGATAAGTGAATCACTATCTCTCTTGATCTTCCTTTGAATCACTGACTTTCTGTATCTTATTTTCTCCATTTTTTTCTCATAAAATCAGTTTCATCATAATTAAGCTGTCTACTAGTAAGGTGTGTATAAATTTGTGCCTTGATTTGAACATTTGGTACCAATGGTCCTGAAAAGCCATCTATCTAATTTCATCTATTGTTCTGATACATTATCTACATATAGCCACCAGCTTGATTTCTTTAAGGCTGATATCAATTTAACATTCCTATTATAGCAAATTATTTGTAAACTATTGCCAATTAAATATGTGTGCATGTCAATGTTTCATAACTAGGAAACTTGGAAAGATGAAAATGTTAACAAGGCTTGTTTTGGGACTTGTCATCCTCGTTGCTGCTATGACTGCTCCAACACCAGAGATCATCAACTATGACTCCGAAACCTACGATGCCACGCTGGATAGTTCATACAGCTATGAAAACATCCCCATTGGGAAAGCAGAGGTAACTGATTCTTTCCACTCTTGAGAATCTTAATAGCATATAGTGAAGGTGATTGGGTCTGCTCTTTTCAATTAGATTTTCATCTATTGATAAGAGTTTTATCTCAATAATTTCACATCAACCTTTTTTACAGAACATACTCAACATTTTAGAGGTTAGTACTAAAACAGTCTTTTGCTTTCCTGCAGTTCGCTGTAATTTTGTCAAATCTCATCATCAAATTGAATTTTTTATCTTAAGGTATAACAGGGAAAATTAGAGAGAAAGCCAGTCAGCATGAGAAGGAATTGTTTAAAGAATGCATATGCAAAAAGCAGGAAAATTTAGAGTAAATAAAATGGGAGATTGAAATAAATTAGCAGGAACTGCAGAAAACACTGAGAAAGGAGAAGGGTTGGGATTGCACCGCTTCCCAGGACTGAATACGCCTTCCTGAATGACCGGCTCTCTGCAGCCAGGTAGGCATTGGCCAGGATGCAGCCCTTTACATAAATCTGACAAGATGACTGCATAATTGTATGCTAGGTTCTTCCCATAACTGGAGGATATGGGATAGTTTTCATCAGTCAGAAAACAGATCTTGAAATACTAAAGTATAATTAATATATATGTGACAAAATCTACACATAATCAAACAGAACTTATATCCATATATATGTAAAGGATCATAACGTATTTTGGGTAGCCTTTCCACTATCAAGTTTCTTAGAATAATTACTTTTAATAACCAAGGGTACAAATATTTAGACAAAATCATAAGCAATGAAGTTTTATGGAACTTAGTCATGTGTTATATTTATTAGGGAGATATTATAAACATCCAATAAGAGTCTTATTCCCTCTCTCTCTCTCTCTCTCTCTATATATATATATATATATATATATATATATATGTTATATATACATACATATCTATCATATATCCCCTTCTTCTAATTCTTACCCCCCTGATTCTTTCTAGCTGATATTTCCCCTAATGTTTTATTGAATTTTCATCTTTTTAATAAAATTACAGGTTCAAAAACATCACCTTTCTTTTGCACATTTGATTGTGACTATTTTATAATTTTTTGTTAATATTTATTGTATGGCTCATATCACAAGATTTTATCTATTTTATAATTTTTTGTTTATATTCACTGTATGGCTCATATCACAAATTTGAAAAGGGATAGTGTTGAGAGATGGTCTCACTTTGCCATCCAGGATGGTCATGAACTCACTATGTAGTCCTGTCAGGCCTTGAACTCGGGGGAAATCTTCCTGCGTCAGCCTCCTAAATGCTGGGAGGTATTTGCCTCCCGTGCCTGATGAGATGGTTTTTCTTATGTTGAAGAGGTTTTCCAATGAGAATTTGTGATCATTAGGACCAATCTTGTTCTATACATCCATGTGGAGTGTAAGATGGTTTTCCAGTGGTTAACTCATCTATCTTGATACTTTTTCCACTAGTCTAAAACAAACATTTTCAGTGCATATATGCTTTTATGTACAAAATTAAATATTTAAGTTCAAATTTATGCTATTCCACATCAAAAATTGTTATGTTTGAAGAAGTTTGATGATTATTATAAACTAATCCTCTAACAAAGGTAAATGTATAGATTCAAGGGTTCTATTTATCCCTTTCAGATGAAAAAGTATTACAAAATAAGCATTGTTTGGGACTGGGGCATTTTTAGACAAAACTATCAAAGAAGTAATATTTTTCTACAGAAATTTTTTTAACCTCTTTCCTTCTGTCAGAATCCTTGTGATTGTCCAGAAATCACCACACATTTTCATAAGATACTGAAATTCTTCCTGTCATCAAGAAACTTAAGCTAATAAACATATCTGTGTAAAGACGACTTGATATAGACCTTTCTCCAGTATTTACATATCCCCTAATAAAGTCTCTGCAGGATGTAAAACATTGTCACTATATCCCTATACAATCCCGTTTTCATCTCATGTAATCATCCACAGCTATTTGCAGAATTTTTTTCTAGGAAACTAAAATCATAAGAAAAATTCAGAATCCTAAAGAACTGTCCAATTTAGAAAGCCCCAAAGATTTCCTGTGCTTGATTGAAATATATTATTCAGTCCTGATTTAGAAAGTGTTAAAAACAATTCACCATTGGAAAGCTGGTTCACAGAGAGATGATACAGATACAGATATGCGTAAGTTATAATGAAAAGTGAATTTTTAATTGTAAAATATACATTATTTAATTTTCAAAAAATATTTACTAACTTAATTCAGTAGTAAATGACAATCATCCAACCAATCTACCCACATGCTATTTATAAGAGAAGAAATATAAAAACAGTATGACACATAAGATAATACAAGAACTCTGATCTGAAACTTTGGCTCAGACATTAACAAAGTATTAGTGCAAATTTTACACACAAAGCACTACTGTAAAAGTTATTATGAAATGACATGAAATAATGCCAGTAAACCTAGTTATATTAACAGATTTTAGCAACAGTATTAATTTCACTGATTTCTTGAATGCAATCCAAGAAGCTCAGATTTTGGTGCCTCTTAATAAGCTTATTTATCTCATCTGTATTAAGGTAAGTTGCCCTAATAGACTTGGTCCTGCATGAAACTTTCTAAGTGAACATGGTAACACCCCTGTAAGGTACAGATGATTTGAAAAAGCCCCTGAGAGTAAAGAATATAAAACAGTATGATAATCAGGTTCTCCAGACTTTTATCATCAATGTCAATGGCATGATTTTGCCTGTTTTAGCCTGTAATTTATCTGTTCTGTAAAAAGATAATAATATATTGTAAAACTATGACTTTATGGGACCACTGACTAATACTTCCAAAATGCATTTCAGTTTCTTTCTGATTGACTATAAAACTTGGCATCGTGGGCTAGTGTATCAGACTCTTTGGATTAGGCTTTGACTAATGGATCCTGAAAAGTCTTGAAATATAATTTAGACAAAATTCTAAGATGTCATTTAAGGTTTATCCTCTGCCATCTAGCCCTCTATATGACCTAGCATCATAGATATACTGGCATATCACTCCTATAATGAGGTTGCTATATGGCATAGTTGAACTTAGGGAAGGGGTATTATCTAAGTGAGGCTGACCTAAACTACTTAATCAACAAAACCACACTCCTCAAAACCAGTGTTAGGGCTCAACTGTGCTTTGCAGATTTCTGCTGCATTCATTGTCTTCTGTAAGTCTGAAAAAAATTATTTTTTGTTTTGAGTAGTACTACTGCATGGAGACTGATGATTTCTTTGATTCTTGATAATCTAAAACATTCAGAATTCATTGTATTTTAAGATAAAGCAAGATTTCAACTGAAGAATCCTATCACAGTGGTATTTAACAGTGGATAAATGTATTGGTGTGACATAAATTGTTGAATTTTAAATGAATTTTCATTTAGTTTAATAGTGCAAATAGTAATTAGGTACAGGCTACATGAACAAAATATGAACTTTTGTTTTCTGTTGAATAATAGTGAATACTGAATGGGTGCTTAGTATGTTCAAAGTACCATTTTAGGCTAGTTTCTTTATTTATTTTTCACAACAAAATTCAAAAGTGTTATTGTGATTCTCATTAAGTATCTGAAGATATTAACACAAACAAGAGTTAGATAACTTAAGATTAAAATCTAATGAAATGTAGTCATAGTGATAGGATCGTCTCATATCAGAAAGTCATTTTCAACAGCGTCATAAAAGATTATACTACCCTGTCTCCATTTCTGCCTTTTTCCAAATTTCCTTTTAAATCAAAAAGGAAATTAGGCCTGCCCGAGTAGTCTTTTCCCAGCAAATGTAGGTGTGCCAAAACTCTTAGAAAAAGAAAAGCATTATTTTATTATTGAATAATGTGAGATAGAAATAAGCTTTAGCTATAACCTTGTTATCTAATACTTGTAAGAATGAAATACTTAAGAATACTTCAAAGAATACTATTACGAATTCTGTAATTTGGGTCTGGACAGTAACTTGAGTAAGCAGTATGTACATATGCACACACACACACATTTACTAATTTTTCAATTCTAATAGCATACTATCTGAAAAGTACAATTTTTTTTTTAAAAAAAGAATCCATTGCACAGTTTGGGACTGTGTTTTCAAATAAGGTAGTTATTTGAGGTTTTCCATTTTGAAAGTTTAGTTTCTGGGTTATTGGTAAGTCATTTCTTTTAGGTTGGAAATGACCTCAAATCATTTTCTAAAGGCAACATTGGCCCTGCCCTGGAGTAGCCTTTTTCTAGCAAATCACTGAGTAGCACTTTTAGGATTTATGAAGGCTGTGGAAAGCTATGGACTGCACTGCGCCAGCAAAATGCTTTTGGCTCCATGCAGATAGTTAAGTCATTTCATTGATGCTACACTAATCGAGCCTTACCTATTGCTTTTATTCAATTGCACCTACAATGTTTATGTATTTTCCATAAATACCAAGAACTGTTATACTGTGTAGCTCTTAATTATATTTACTGTAAGAAAGTTTGGAGGTTGTGCACAATGAAATTACACTATAATTCTTTAGGAAGGTGTAGAAGAGAAATTTCTCTAAGGCCTCAATGTAGCATTGCAAGTTTTAAGGAATTTGCTTATTTTGTGGGCTATATTTTAGCACTGAAAGAGCATATTACTTTGTCTTGCCTGCTTAGCAGTGTGGTGCCCAGTTTTTGTCTCATTCATGCCCAATTTAATATGACTTCCACCACTATTTTCCTATCAACCAAGTTCCTGTGTAGATTTTTGAAGTATTATCATTCAGTGTTCTCAAATGGTATCATTTCTTTCCTGAGATGAGATGAGATACACATTCTTGAATAAATAACATCAAATATACTAGTATCAGTACCAGCTGACCACAGTCAGTATCCTGCTACATTCCTGGCTTAAAATTGAGTCTGAATCTTCCTAAAGAGACCAAACAGTTGTTTAAAAGCATCCCTATTGGAAAAGAACTGCCACTGAAATCAAATAATTGATATTGAGGAAAAGTG